CTTGTATTCCGAGGTAGAACATCTTCTAGTGATTCCAATCCATGGGAGCAGGTATGAGACAAAGTGGGAGCGGGCCCACACGGGCCCAACCTTCCAATCCTACCGGGTTGGAAGGCAGGACCAGTAGAGATCAGGAAAGGAGACCAGAAACATTAACCTCTTTCCCACCTGGGCAGAATGACTAACCTAAGAAAAAACCCAACTTGTAGACAACCTGCCTACAGACTGGCACAGCACCAAACAGGGCTCACATTGTAGAGAGCATTCATAAGCAGAGTAATAGAAGCTCCTACCTGCAGATGCGAAAGAGCAGTCCTGCAGGACCAAGGTACTTAGAGGATTTAAAAGAAAAACAAAATACAGTGCCATGATATATACTGTATGTTATGTGAATGGGATTTACCACTCCTCTGTTAAGTATCGTTTTAATAGAATGATCAAGAAAGAGAATGTACAATAAACCTTAAAGGTTATACTAAAGGTTCATATTGACACAGGTTATTGCCTCAACGCCTGTGTTTCAAAAGCTGATTCTAAAAAGTAATGTGAATAACAGACTCAGATGATGGTTGGAGAGCGCAGAGAGTGGAATAATTGGGGGAGATGAAAGGAGAGTATCAGAAAAAAGAAAGAAGGGCAGAAAAACGGGGGGTTTGAGAAAAGTAAAGCATTAGAAGAAAGGAGAAAAAAGGTGGGTTTTTTTATACACAGGCACTGGCTGGAGTAATATACAGTAAGTCAGTCTAAAGGGACGATCCTAACTTGAAAATGACACCCCCTTCACAATGTGTAAAACATTAAAGATATTGAAGACTATTTATGTTCATCTCTGAAATATACAATAAAATTAAATGCAGACCTCCCAAATACTGTACATAGGAATTTCTTCTGTTTTATTGTCCAAGATGCTCGTTGGGCACATGTTAACAATCATGTTATCCACATTTGGAACGGGAAAGCTGTTTTTTTCCAATTTCTGGATAGAGTTAGTTGAGCTATGATTAGTATATGGTGTGTTAGTGTCTGTTGTGACTTGGACAGTCTCTATCTTACTATATAAGATGGCTCACACCAGGATTTTGGGAATGTTTTTAGGATAAAAAGCCTTTGGGACAGACCTTAGACCAAAAAGTGGTGGCAAATGGACATGTTCACCAAATACATACTACATAACCATTATAGAAACAACCTTGAAAAAACTTGTCTGAATAACTGGAATTCATATACAGTATGCTATTTCAGAAGGAACCATATAAAAATTCAACATATGGTAACTTTATATGCTGCTTCCATGTTGGTTATGTGGGGAACATTTTAGGTAAACCAACTAAATTTTATACTCTTCAAATGTGCTTTTTCATAGATCTGCTTCCAGTTTGCCAACATAATCATCTCTAGGGGCTTATTTACTAAAGCAGAAGATTGCAAAATCAGGCCCACTTCTGCATGGACCAATCAGCTTCTAACTTCAGCTTGTTCAATTAAGCTTTGGCAATAACCTGGAAGCTGATTGGCTTCTATACAGAAGTGAGCCTGATTTTGAACTCTCCAGCCCTAGTAAATAAACCCCCTAGTGTGTTGGGGCAGATTGTTTAACTACAAATATAGGACAGAGGTAATTTTAGGATCATTCAGCCTGTGCGAACAGATATTTTCAATGTAAGGTAGGGGTTTGATGGAATCTCTGTTCTTGATAAAGATAGAGATCCAGTGTTGTATATGTAGAAACCTGTAATGTCCCATGAGTGGAATTGTTTCATGTTTTGGTACACAATCCCAGCATATAATAGTAGAGGAGGTCAAAAATTGGTAGACTGGTTGAGGTAAGAGTGACAAAAGTGGAGTATTCAGGAACAAAAGAGTATTTGGTTGCCTCCCACAATTTTAAATTGTGTTTCAGAAAGCACACGGGTGTCCTCTGGCTTGTGTTGAGATGGGAGCCAGAGTATTTTTCTTAAGAGTAGTAGGATAGCAATCGGGGAAATTCTAGGAAAGTTCGAATGGCAGCATTTACCATTTGCTTTGAATTCTAACTGAAAATATAAATGCACTTCCTGATGTGTGTCAAGGCCCCTCTGTTCTGTAGACTCATATCTGTGTATTTTCAGTGTGACATCATTTAGGGCACATCTACTCCTGACTCTACCTCTGCTAATATCACCTGATTTGCAGTAGGATTTGGTGATGTCCCTACTTTTCTGCTCAGTGTTATTCTTTTTTTGGAGAGAAAGCTGGACCTGAAGATCTGCGGTGCAAGGATTTCACCGCTTCTGCTTAATTCATCATGTGGATCTGGTCTATTACAGATGCTGTTCTAATACTTTATATTGCCTTTTATAGGCATGCTAGAAACTTCGAATGCTAATGTACTGTGCAAATTCAGTTTTATCCATGTATGCTGTACAGTCAGGACAAATGGAACTGAAGCTTTTGGGTCATAAAAGTACTAGGGTTAAATGTGTTTTAGTAGTACATTAGGCACCAATGCAAATGTTCCATGAACTACTGCAAAGTTTAAAGCACAGCTACTGTTATCTGGGGCCCAAGAATATACAGTTTACTTGTATATTATTGAAAACGTACCTGCTCCAGCATTGCAATGTCCCCCTCATTACTCAGCCTCACTCTGCTCAGATATTTTCCAGCTTGCATGACAACAATTTAGGTGCCAGAAGACTAAGAGCAGTTGCCTCTGCAATCAGCAAGGGCTGTCTTAATGCATGGGCACTCCTGGGCACTGCATAGGGGCCCCAGGTGCATGGGGGTCCCACATTAATCTTGTATTACATCATACTTGCCAACTGTCCCGGTTTTACTGGGACAGTCACGCTTTTTACTAAACTGTTCCGGGCAGCATCCCAGAACCTGTACTGTGCCCACCCGATCCCAGGATTGTGCCCTCCTAACCCCCTCACCCGTACTGTGCCCTTCTGCGCCCCCCACAATACTGTGCTCTGTGTTGATTGGTGTTTGATTTATGGCATGTTTTCTTATTGCTTAAAATCCATTTTATTGAAAGTACTAATACTGTACATACATGTTTAATTCTATCAACTATTTATACTTTAATTCTTGAGACTAGGTGCAAAAAATGGAGACAGACTGGTAGGGGTCCCAGTACATTACTTTATCCAGAGGCCCATTATGCTTTTAAGATGGTTCTGCAATTAACCCTTCATATACAAAAACAGTAGCTGCCACTATATTTTGTAATAGATCATGTACTGTTCACAGTATCTGAAACAGCAATACTGACTTTTAAGAACTAAAGGGTGTTAAATCCAAAAGCAAACATTATATTGTAGCTTACTAACTCTTAGATGTGATCGCTGTATTCTTATTTTTTTAGGGGGTTGAGACAAGCCACTTACAACTGACAGGGTTGCTTACAAAAGGAACAAAACTGTTGCTGTAACTGCATGTGTAACTGCAGTGTGACCCTGAGTTTGGCTTTAATTTGTTAGTGCATCTAAAACTACTAATCCATACAACAACTCCCAGACATACACACTAGAGATGAGCGAATTATTCAAAAATTCGATTCGACTGATTCGGCGAATTCGTGAAAAAATTTTGATTCGAGTCAAATATATTCGCTGCGAATTTAACTTATAAAAGGGTGTTTCTAGGCTTCAGAGAGCCTTTATATTAGTGCAGAACACTGTACCTTTAATTTAAATGCCCTTGGAGTCTGCTGGGGAAGAGAAATAATACTGTCAGTCAGTATGACATGCAGATGAGTGCCGTCGATCTTAGAATCACCGCACACTTCACTCATTTGGGCAGTCACGGGGCCAAAACCAGAGTGTGGAGCCACAGTGTGGCGGTGGAGGCAGCAGCAATGGGAGGCCATACAGCACCCTATGACAAAAATGGAACCCACCAGCAGTGTGAGGAGACCTGAAAGTGGCACATGGCAGAGTGTGGCGATGGAGACAGCAGCAATGGGAGGCCGTACAGGGACCCATGAGAGACTCTGGACCTGGCAGCAGCATGAGGAGGCGGTACAGGGGCCCATGACAGATTACGGGCCTGGCAGCAGCATGAGGAGTTGGTACGGGGGCCCATGGCAGATTACGGGCCTGGCAGCAGCAATGGGAGGCCGTACAGGGACCCATGACACACTCTGGACCTGGCAGCAGCATGAGGAGGCGGTACAGGGGCCCATGACAGATTACGGGCCTGGCAGCAGCAAGAGGAGTCGGTACGGGGGTCCATGACACACTCTGGACCTGGCAGCAGCATGAGGAGGCGGTACAGGGGCGCATGACAGATTACGAGCCTGGCAGCAGCAACTTGGACAGGAGGACGTTCAGCTTCTGCACCGTCGGGTGCGTGCTCGAAAACTGTTGTCTCTTGGAAACGGATTCCAAGAAAGACTGCTGACGGAATCCGTGAAGAGGAGTAGCAGGAGAAGGAGCATCTGAACGAGCGGAATATGCCAACAAGCGACAACAGGGGCCCATGACAGATTACGGGCCTGGCAGCAGCATGAGGAGTCGGTACGGGGGCCCATGGCAGATTACGGGCCTGGCAGCAGCAGTGGGAGGCCCGTAATCTGCCAGCACCCTATGACAAAAAATGGAACATACCAGCAGTGTGTGAGGAGACCTGAAAGTGGCACATGGCAGAGTGTGGCGATGGAGACAGCAGCAATGGGAGGCCGTACAGGGACCCATGAGAGACTCTGGACCTGGCAGCAGCATGAGGAGGCGGTACTGGGGCCCATGGCAGATTACGGGCCTGGCAGCAGCAATGGGAGGCCCGTAATCTGCCAGCACCCTATGACAAAAAATTGAACACACCAGCAGTGTGTGAGGAGACCTGAAAGTGGCACATGGCAGAGTGTGGCGATGGAGACAGCAGCAATGGGAGGCCATACAGGGACCCATGAGAGACTCTGGACCTGGCAGCAGCATGAGGAGGCGGTACAGGGGCCCATGGCAGATTAGGGGCCTGGCAGCAGCTATGGGAGGCCCGTAATCTGCCAGCACCCTATGACAAAAAATGGAACACACCAGCAGTGTGAGGAGACCTGAAAGTGGAACATGGCAGAGTGTGGCGATGGAGACAGCAGCAATGGAGGCCGTACAGGGACCCATGAGAGACTGTGGACCTGGCAGCAGCATGAGGAGGCGGTACAGGGGCCCATGGCAGATTACGGGCCTGGCAGCAGCAATGGGAGGCCCGTAATCTGCCAGCACCCTATGACAAAAAATGGAACACACCAGCAGTGTGAGGAGACCTGAAAGTGGCACATGCAGAGTGTGGCGATGGAGACAGCAGCAATGGGAGGCAGGGACCCATGAGACACTGTGGACCTGGCAGCAGCATGAGGAGGCGGTAAGGGGGCAGATTAAGCCTGGCAGCAGCAATGGGAGGCCCGTAATCTGCCAGCACCCTATGACAAAATGGAACCCTGGGCTGGGGCAGGCAGAACCGCCGTATCTTTATCACGGTTTTCCCCAGGCCACCGAATGGCGACGCTGCATATGCTGCCGCAACGCTGTAGTCCCAACATGGGCCCCCTGGCCACGCTTGACTTTCTGGCCACATAGTCGACATACGGCTACGTTTACTTCCTCGGGCGGCTTGACGAAAAATTGCCACACCGCCGAGTAGGAAACTTTGCCCCCGCTACTCCTCACTGGCTGACTGCTACTTCCTCCGTGCACACCGGCACCACTACTGGCCGTGGTGGTAGGCTGCAGTGGAGCTGGTGCTCTACTCCGTGGCCGTTTGCCTCCACTGACACTGCTGCGACCCTGCTGCCTCCTGGCAGCAGCAATGGGAGGCCGTACAGGGACCCATGACACACTCTGGACCTGGCAGCAACATGAGGAGGTGGTACAGGGGCCCATGGCAGATTAGGGGCCTGGCAGCAGCAATGGGAGGCCCGTAATCTGCCAGCACCCTATGACAAAAAATGGAACACAGCAGCAGTGTGTGAGGAGACCTGAAAGTGGCACATGGTAGAGTGTGGCGATGGAGACAGCAGCAATGGGAGGCCGTACAGGGACCCATGAGACACTCTGGACCTGGCAGCAGCATGAAGAGGCGGTACAGGGGCCCATGGCAGATTAGGGGCCTGGCAGCAGCTATGGGAGGCCCGTAATCTGCCAGCACCCTATGACAAAAAATGGAACACACCAGCAGTGTGAGGAGACCTGACAGTGGCACATGTTTGGGGCATGATTCATGGCGGATTTAGTCAGTTGTGTCAGGAACTGGTGGTTTGAAATCCAGACTAATCCACGCCTGATTCATTTTCACAAACGTGAGTCTCTCCACACTTTGGGTGGACAGTCGTGTCCTCCGCGGAGTTACAATACCTCCTGCCGCACTAAACACGCGCTCCGATGCCACGCTACTGGCCGGGCATGACAGCCTTTCAAGGGCAAATTCAGCTAGTTTGGGGCCAAAGGTCAAGTTTCGTTGCCCAGTAGTCAAGGGGATTGTCTACCTCGGTTGGCAGGGTGCTGTCCAAGTAGGCCCGAGCCTGTTGTTTGAGGTCCTGCTCCAGGTCCACCTGATGCTGCAAGCTGCTGCTGCGGCTGGTTAGTAGTTTCCTCACTGCGCTGGTGAAGAAAGCTACTCATCATCGACTGCAGACTGAGGCAGCCGCTGCTGGTGGAGCTGCCACTGCTCCCAGCACCACCCCACCCCTCCCCCTGCTGCCATGGCAGCGGAACGCGAGCGCACAGGGCCCACAGTGTCTGAGGATGGACGTTGGGGCAGAAAGGCAGGCAGACCAGCTGACTACATAGGTGGTTTTTATAGTACTTTATTTTGGCCTCCCCTCTCAGCAGGTGTGAAAAAGGCCACCATTTTTGAACGGTAGCGAGGGTCCAACAAGGTGGACAGCCAAAAGTCATCCCTCTGTCTGATGGTTATTATTCGGCTGTCGCTACGCAAGCAAGCGAGCATGCTATGGGCCATTTGTGCCAAGGAATGCGAGGGACTCCCTGCCTCCATCTCCACAGCATACTGCCACAGTGCGTCTGGGTCCTCTGTCTCCTCCTCCTCCTCCTCTACCAGATGCTCCTGCTCCTCCACCACTCCTGTCCGCTGAGTGGAAAAAACCACCCATTTCACTCAATAATTCCTGAGCACCAATGTCCTCCTCTACCCCCTCCTCTTCTTCCTGTCCTGCCCCCACAGGGGGTCATGTGGCGTTGAGATTTGTGCGCCACGTCTACCGCACCCTGACCAGCCATTGTTAACAGCATTTGTTCCAGGACGTGCAACAGCAGAGGAATGAACCAGCGTCGTTCATCCCATAGTCCTGCGCCACTCACGATAGCGTGGCCTCCTCAAAGGGCCTGAGCAAGCGGCAGGTGTCACGCATGAGCTGCCAATGGCTGACAGCTAAGTTGACACAGGGAGTACCTTTATCCGCTTGTAACATCAGGAAATCTGTGATGGGCCTTTCGCTGTTCGTGAAGGCGGTCTAACATATGTAGGTGGGAATTCCACCTTGTTGGCAACGTCACAGCATGAGGAGTTACGGTACGGGGGCCCATGGCAGATTACGGGCCTGGCAGCAGCAATGGGAGGCCCGTAATCTGCCAGCACCCTATGACAAAAAATGGAACACACCAGCAGTGTGAGGAGACCTGAAAGTGTGCACATGGCCGAGTGTGGCGATGGAGACAGCAGCAATGGAGGCCGTACAGGGACCCATGAGAGACTCTGGACCTGGCAGCAGCATGAGGAGGCGGTACAGGGGCCCATGGCAGATTAGGGGCCTGGCAGCAGCAATGGGAGGCCCGTAATCTGCCAGCGCCCTATGACCAAAAATGGAACACACCAGCAGTGTGAGGAGACCTGAAAGTGGCACATGGCATGAGACACTGTGGACCTGGCCAGCAGCATGACTGCAGGAGGCAGTACAGGGGCCCATGGCAGATTAGGGGCCTGGCAGCAGCTATGGGAGGCCCGTAATCTGCCAGCACCCTATGACAAAAAATGGAACACACCAGCAGTGTGAGGAGACCTGAAAGTGGCACATGGCATGAGACACTGTGGGCCTGGCAGCAGCATGGCCCAGGCGGGCGGTACAGGGGCCCAGATTAGGGGCCTGGCAGCAGCAATGGGAGGCCCGTAATCTGCCAGCACCCTATGACAAAAAATGGAACACACCAGCAGTGTGTGAGGAGACCTGAAAGTGGCACATGGCAGAGTGTGGCGATGGAGACAGCAGCAATGGGAGGCCGTACAGGGACCCATGAGAGACTCTGGACCTGGCAGCAGCATGAGGAGGCGGTACAGGGGCCCATGGCAGATTAGGGCCTGGCAGCAGCAATGGGAGGCCCGTAATCTGCCAGCACCCTATGACAAAAAATGGAACACACCAGCAGTGTGTGAGACCTGAAAGTGGCACATGGCAGAGTGTGGCGATGGGAGACAGCAGCAATGGGAGGCCCGTAATCTGGGACCCATGAGAGACCTGGAACCTGACAGCAGCATGAGGAGGCGGTACAGGGGCCCATGGCAGATTAGGGGCCTGGCAGCAGCTATGGGAGGCCCGTAATCTGCCAGCACCCTATGACAAAAAATGGAACACACCAGCAGTGTGAGGAGACCTGAAAGTGCACATGGCAGAGTGTGGCCGCCGATGGAGACAGCAGCAATGGGAGGCCGTACAGGGACCCATGAGACACTGTGGACCTGGCAGCAGCATGAGGAGGCGGTACAGGGGCCCATGGCAGATTAGGGGGCCTGGCAGCAGCTATGGGAGGCCCGTAATCTGCCAGCACCCTATGACAAAAAATGGGAACCACCAGCAGTGTGAGGAGACCTGAAAGTGGCACATGGCAGAGTGTGGCGATGGAGACAGCAGCAATGGGAGGCCGTACAGGACCCATGAGAGACTCTGGACCTGGCAGCAGCATGAGAGGCGGTACAGGGGCCCATGGCAGATTAGGGGCCTGGCAGCAGCTATGGGAGGCCCGTAATCTGCCAGCACCCTATGACACAAAAAATGGAACACACCAGCATGTGGAGGAGACCTGAAAGTGGCACATGGAACATGAGACACTGTGGACCTGGCAGCAGCATGAGGAGGCGGTACAGGGGCCCATGGCAGATTAGGGGCCTGGCAGCAGCTATGGGAGGCCCGTAATCTGCCAGCACCCTATGACAAAAAATGGAACACACCAGCAGTGTGAGGAGACCTGAAAGTGGCACATGGCATGAGACACTGTGGACCTGGGCAGCAGCATGAGGAGGCGGTACAGGGGCCCATGGCAGATTAGGGGCCTGGCAGCAGCTATGGGAGGCCCGTAATCTGCCAGCACCCTATGACAAAAAATGGAACACACCAGCAGTGTGTGAGGAGACCTGAAAGTGGCACATGGCAGAGTGTGGCGATGGAGACAGCAGCAATGGGAGGCCGTACAGGGACCCATGAGAGACTCTGTGACCCTGGCAGCAGCATGAGGAGGCGGAACAGGGGCCCATGGCAGATTAGGGGCCTGGCAGCAGCTATGGGAGGCCCGTAATCTGCCAGCACCCTATGACAAAAAATGGAACACACCAGCAGTGTGAGAGGAGACCTGAAAGTGGCACATGGCAGAGTGTGGCGATGGAGACAGCAGCAATGGGAGGCCGTACAGGGACCCATGAGAGACTCTGGACCTGGCAGCAGCATGAGGAGGCGGTACAGGGGCCCATGGCAGATTAGGGGCCTGGCAGCAGCTATGGGAGGCCCGTAATCTGCCAGCACCCTACAAAAAATGGAACACACACCAGCAGTGTGAGGAAAATGAACACATGGCAGAGTGTGGCGATGAGGAGACAGCAGCAATGGAGGCCACCGTACATGGGACCCATGAGACTGTGGACCTGGCAGCAGCATGAGGAGGCGGTACAGGGGCCCATGGCAGATTAGGGGCCTGGCAGCAGCTATGGGAGGCCCGTAATCTGCCAGCACCTATGACAAAAAATGGAACACACCAGCAGTGTGAGGAGACCTGAAAGTGGCACACATGGCATGAGACACTGTGGACCTACCTGGGCAAGACAGCATGATGGAGGCGGTAACAGGGCCCATGGCAGATTTAGGGGCCTGGCAGATCAGCAATACTCTATGGGAGGCCCGTAATCTGCCAGCAACCCTATGACAAAAAATGGAACACACCTAGCAGTGTGTGAGGAGACTGAAAGTGGCACATGGCAGAGTGTGGCGATGGAGACAGCAGCAATGGGAGGCCGTTTACAGGACCCATGATTAGATTCCTGGACCTGGCAGCAGCATGAGGAGGCGGTACAGGGGCCCATGGCAGATTAGGGGCCTGCAGCAGCTATGGGAGGCCCGTAATCTTGCCAGCACCCTAGGACAAAAAAAATGAACACACAGCAGTGTGAGGAGACCTGAAAGTGGCACACTGGCATGAGAAACTGTGGCACGATGAGACACAGCAATGGACCGTACAGGGAACCCATGGCAGACTCTGACCTGGCAGCAGCATGAGGAGGCGGTACAGGGCCCATGTCAGATTAGGGCCTGGCAGCAGCTATGGGAGGCCCGTAATCTGCCAGCACCCTATGGACAAAAAATGGAACACACCAGCAGTGTGTGGAGGACGACCTGAAAGTGGCCCGTAACATGGCAAGCAGTGTGGCGGATGTAGACAGCAGCAATGGGAGGCCGTACAGGGACCCATGAGAACACTGTGGACCTGGCAGCAGCATGAGGAGGCAGGTACAGGGGCCCATGGCAGATTAGGGGCCTGGCAGCAGCTATGGAGGCCCGTAATCTGCAGCACCCTATGACAAAAAATTGAACACACCAGCAGTGTGTGAGGAGACCTGAAAGTGGCACATGGCATGAGTGTGTGCGACCTGGGACAGCAGCAATGAAGGGAGGCGTACAGGTACAGGACATCGTGGCCCAGCAGCAGATTTAGAGGGTCCTGGGGCACCAAGGCATTTTTTTGGGCCTGGCAGCAGCTATGAGGCCCCGAAATCTGCCAGCACCC